GAGACCATGTTTGGCCGGAATCGCGATTCTGCGTATGTCGGCTCGCATTAGCCGCGCGTTTGCAAGCTTTTCGTGATTTCAAACGTTCAAACATGTGATTTGATGTTGCTTCCATGCATTAGGGTGGGTGTCAAGGTCACCTGAAGGTCAGGTCAGGTCATTGACCTTTGATGACCTCAGTTCACTTTTTCGAGTTTTACATGTTTCTAGGCTAGTTTTTGGAGCTGAACTCGAATTCAGCAACCATTTGAACATTTACGAAGTAGTTTTGGTATCTTCGTAACATGTTACGAAGCTGTCAGAGGCGGTTGACACGTACTACGAATACCCGGCAGAACCACTACTGGTTGACCTGACCCGACCTCGATCAGGGGCCAAACGGCAAGGGGGGGGGTCCAACCGACCCCCCCCTACACATTACACCTTTTTTCAATCCGAATCGGCATCCGTTCATTCAAATACGGCAGCGGGCACCTTATCTCGACAGGCACTCCAACAACTCGACACTGGAGCACGCATTTCGACACTCTTCGCTAATTTAGAATAGCATCGGTTGATATTCGACCAGGGTCATTGAACAACGGCAGGGGCATTTAATATCGAAAAAGGGCATTCTGTTTTGTCATATTGCATTTTATGTCGGCAGGTTGCAGCCCAGCTAGACAGTGGTCAATTTCATTCTGTTTTGTCATATTGCATTTTATGTCGGCAGGTTGCAGCCCAGCTAGACAGTGGTCAATTTATTTCATCAGTGAATTAAGCAACTCTTATCTTTTCGGAAAGGCATTTTAAGAATATGCGTTAAAATGTTCCACGGAACTGTAAAGAGACACTCAATATGGGCGCTTGGTTGCTAAGAAACCACACCTTTTTCAATCCGAATCGGCAACCGTTCATTGGAATACGGCAACGGGCACCTAATTTCGTCAGTCGCTCTGGAACCTTAACACCGGTTTGTCCCTAACATCACACGCCTCCGGCACGCAAGCTGACCTCATGCTAGGTCATCATCCTTGTGCCATTCTGTGACAATGTGGAAGCACTGGCGAATCCAAAGGGCGACGGGAGTCATTCGGGGCCACGCTCCTGGCGAATCCAAAGGGCGACGGGGGTCATTCGGGGCCACGCTCCTGGCGAATCCAAAGGTTGACGGGGGTCATTCGGGGCCTCGCTCCTCTCAACGCATCTAAAGTTGGTTATGTTTTAGCGGTATTTCTTGGATGAAAAACAAAAATATTGATTTTTTCATTTGGGTCGATCTGCCGACACCTTGTGAGTGGCGCTGACCGCCAGCGCGGATGGTTCAAGTCTGCGGAGATGGGAATGGGCATTGGGCGTGTCACCCTAGAGAAGCAACAATGTTTGCAGGACGGCGGTCAACTGAATCATGGAGTCATGGTCAACTGAATCTCTGGAGTCTGGACAAAAAAAAAACTGCCCTCTGGAAAGGTGGAAACCCTGCGGGCTGACCCATCGATCGCTTTGGCTGCTTATCCGTAGCGGGACAGTTTTATACCGGCGTCTTGTCAGCCGCCGCAGCTCACAGCTCACTGGTAGACTCACCCAAATGCTTCCTCCGCATTATCCTCTCATTTCACGACTCTGACATGACTTGCTAGCCTATACTCACCCTCCATCCACAGAAAAAAAAAAGCATTTAGACCTTAAAACCACGGTCTTGGCGTATTTTGTGTTCCATTAAACAAGGAAAGTCTAAGAAAAGGAAAAATGCTAAAAATTATAGTGGTAAGCATTGGAAACGCATCAACGTACAAAATGTGGTTTGAAATTTGCTTGATTTTGCTTGTTATAACGCCAACGAAACTGAATGACCATTAGGGTGTGTCACTAGAAACAGATCAAGCGCTTCCGCTGATTTTCCTTGTCCCTGTGTCTATGGAAGTCCATTGGTGCAGTTCTTTTTTCCATGCATCGAAAATTCGATCGGCGCAGGCTGAAAGAAGTTCGGGATTTATCGTGGCGCCTGGCGTTGCAGTCTCCATGTTTGGCGTAATGCGTTTGATGACGCTAACACCAGCCGCGCGCGTCTTCGCCTGTTAGCGGCGACAGACGCTGTCAATGCGGATGTAAGCGATGCAAACGAGGCAGTATCCTCTATTGAGACAACGGTTACACAGAAAAGATGCATCTTTGCCATTCACGGAACTTCACGGGAGAAAGACGGTGCACGGAGCCGCCGGCTGCCTTGCCCAACGGCCCCGTGAATGATCCGGGTCCACTGGTCTTGCCGTCCAAGTTCTGGAACACTTCCCTGAGTACAAGCTCATTCGAGTGCAGCTGGCAAACAAACCAATGGACCGTTTTCTCTTGAATAAGCTCCAAAAGTCGGCATATTCCACCAGATCTGCCCGTATTGACAGCCGCGCCATCGCAGCCTATTAGCCAGAGTGGCAACGTTTATCAGCTCATTGGCTTGATCAATGGCTTTACCTGACATTGGCGTAAAAGTTGGAGAGATATTCGTTTCCTTGTTCTGCTACATTAGCCACATATTCCTCAGCTGCCCTGTAGCCGCCTCGGCCCGTGCTATTCTGATCAGTGATCATGCCTTCCATCAAAGTACATGGCCTTGAGCTCAGCGTCGCTGTGTTGTTGGTCCCGCGCGGCCACTGTACTTTGTCTCATCCGGCATCTTTCTCTCCATACTTTTTCGGGTCGACCAGCAATTCTGCTTTGCCGCTCGCTACGCGACCGATATCCATCTGAAAACCGTTGATGACGGCCGCTACAGCACGGTTGGATAAACCATACCTGTCAGTCAGCTGCCAGTGCAGTGTTTGTCATATCATCATCGTTTGAGTCTTTGGATACATTCCTTCATCTCAAATTCACTTGTGACTTCTTAATTGCTGGCGTTGGTGTCGGTCGTTGCCGATGAGTCTACCTGGCCTGTCTCGTCGATATTGACGCCGCTGGAATAGGTACGGAGGTGGAAAGGACCAGCTTGACCCACGTCGCCCCTCCCCTCGTTCCGCTCCCGTCTCATTCTAGGCTCGCAGTCTTACGTCGTTTCCCCGTCTCCTCGTAGTCCACACCACCCAGTCTGATCTTCCGAACTCCTCTCTGGTCTCGAAGCAATGCTATTTCCGCTGGCGGTACCCCGTTTGAAAGTGGACAGGTACAGCTTCGCCGATCTTTACAGCGGCAGCGGGCGATGTCAAAAAGCTTACGAAACAGACTCGCTTCAGAAAGACTTCGTTTCGTTTGTCCCTCCCGCATTCTTTTGGGCACCTTGTTCGATCGGCGAAATCTTTCGTAGACTTGCTTTACCTTCCGAACCACATTGTGCATTTGTATCGTTGGTATGCCCTCACTCGACCACATTGCAACCACCGCTTCCGCTGCTTCACGAAAACATGCAGTAACTGTCCGCTCACTTTTTCTATCCCCTGCCAGGGGTCTCACATAATTCACTACATCTCTGTTTGTAGGCAGCTGATTTACCGGCAGCACACTGGGAGACCCGATAACGAAATGTTTCGCTTTGCTTCGCAACGGCATCACTGCGGCACGGATAGTCCGATTCGATTGCACCACACGCACTTCTGCTCACGCCGCAGCTGAAACCACACTGACCCACGTTCTTCGCAAGCTTGTGTGCCTCGGGTAGACAGCACATGACTCGAAAGCCGACACATTGTGTTGCCGACGGAGGGGTGATACCCGAGACCCCACTCGCGTTGCCCTCTGTCCATCCGTGCTCTTATTCTCCCTGCTCCACTCGTGATAGTCTTGCCAAGCAGTGTTCGCCATGGGCTGGGCTGGGCTACGGGCTGGGCTGGGCCCTCAAATATGAAGGATCGGTGGGCTGTGGATGAGCTGGGCCAAGAACTGTAAAGTGGAGTCAGGGATTCGCAGCTGAGACAATAACTAAAACTACATAGCTTATTACTGTGCAAGACTCAAAAATGAGTTAATAAAGCACCCATGCAATGTCCATTGTGCAATTGCATGCTGCTCGCAAAAGATTGTTTCTTTGCGAGCTTTGGATACCTGTGTAGTGTCAATAATTGTTAATCCATTCATTTTTGACGGGCTGGGCCGGGCTGGGCTTTGACGCCTTTACCATGAATGGGCTCGGGCTGGGCCGGGCTGTGAACCCATGGGCCTCGGCTGGGCTGGACTGGGATTTTGCAGCCCGTGGCGAACACTGTTGCCAAGGCTGCAGCGTGATCCTATTATATGGATCATCTGTGGTCCCCTGAATGGCCTCAACACATTAAGATAACAGTATGTTTCGTCCGACGTCCATTTAAACAAGAAATAGCCATCGAATTTTAACCGTCAAACGGTGTTGGCCGCCACAGGCCGACGGCGGGTCATATGCCTGGTGTTAGCGCTACGGTGCGCATTGTGTTCAGTATGGAGACTTCAACGCCGGGCGCCACGGGAAATGTCGAAATTGATTGGGCCCGCGCCGCCTGAATTTTCGGTGCAGCGAAAAAAGAACAGTGCCAATGGGCTTCAATGAACCCAGGGACAAGGAATATCCGCGGAAGCGCTTGATCTGAGACAAAAATATTAGATATGACACACCCTAATGACCATTGCCATTGTAAAATGAAATTTGCCTTTTTCCAATGCCCGATGTCACAGTCCTATGCCGTGTGCCGAAATCCATTGGCCAGTGTCGAAACCACGCTCAGTGTCGAAATAAAATGCCCCATGTCATGCCTCTGCACTATGCCGAGTTTGGACCGTGGTTTGTCGAAAGCGCACTCCAGCTGACGTTCCTAATGCAGATCTGCCGAAAATAACTGACCGGATGCCGATTCGGATTGAAAAAAGGTGTAGAAGCTGGCAAACGCCGCACACATCCGAGGGTCAATCTATGCATGGTTAATTGGGTGGATCCACATAATGTATTTACATACAGCAGGTTTAGCTGACCACTTCTCTTCCAGCTAGCTTACCTTTCAGCTATGCAACCGGGCGACCCGTCCCACCTCCCCCTCCTCCCTTCCCCTCTCCCGACTCACTTTAGCGACTGTAGTACGGCGTTCATGAAGCAGGTGTTGCCCAGGTTTCTCAGGCCGGCAGCGCAGCTGGGCTTCTGTGACGTGTGCTGGGGGTCGGCCGATCGGCCCCGCCGCCGCACCGGCCGCTTTCCGACCCGGTTTTCGGCCTCGCCCTCCGACTCAGACGCCGCCAACCTGCCGTGGGGGGGGGGGGAGGAGACGGCGAGGGGGGGGGTGTTAGACACTTCACTGTGGACTGGGCGATGAGGACACTGATGCAAGTATCCACGAAATGACGCAGCGGAGACTGGGGGGGGGGGGGGGGGGTGAGATTCAGTCTTGAAATCAATTCAATCCCAATTGCTGTGGTCGCGAAAGATGATTAAAGAAAAAGTCGATTTATAAGAAACTAGGATTATGGGATGGCTATAAAACAATGGTTGCTCAATCGTTCCTCAGATTTCTGGTTTAGGAAAATGACATGCTGGTGAGTGTATTGCCTTTGATGTCTACTGTCTACATTAAGGACCATTACTAAAAACAACAGGAGAAATACCATTTCCTAAATATCTGAAACAAACGTACTACTAACGATCAAATTTCAGGCCAACTCCGGCAAGAAAAAAATAAATAAATAAATAGATATTACAGCAGTAAAAACGCCAATCGGCTAATTCCCCCTGGGTACTGAATGCTAAAGCCAAAGCCTATGCCTACATTGTGGGATAAGGTGAAGGAGCTGCACAGCAACGAGTCCATTAGGTATACAACAGTAATACAAATAATTCAACAATGCCGTCCGATAAATCATACACAATGGAAATATTGGTAGAGTGGCCCATTAGAACATAATGAGGGAAAATTTTGATTTGGCTAGATGATAGGTATGCAAAATGTTCTTAACCCTCGCACGACCAGGCCATTTCTCATAACACGAACGACCAGGGGGGGGGGGGGGTTGTTACGACCCCCCCTGGCGTTTCGAAACGGAAGGTCGTAGAGCTTAGCGGAAAAAACCAACGGATTGCTCTCAACGAGATCTCGCGATTGGTGGTATGTTTTTTGGTCCTAGGTCAACATTTGACCTACTTATGACCGGTCAAAGGTCAAATTTTCCGAAAAAAATCAAACTTTTTCAAATTTCCGCGGCGATTGCGGCAAAACGGTGGGAGATATCGACTTGAAACCTTCACTATCGTGTTCCTTGATCAATTCTCTATCGTTTGGTATGTATTTCGTTTCCCTAGCTCTAACAATGGCGCGTTGGGAGCGCCGGAAGTCGGCAAGGTCACAGTCGGCGGCAGAAATTCGAAAAATCAAAATTTAAATTTTTGAAATCTGATTGTATTCTTGGATTTGGGAGGTCCATTTGCTCCCTATAGAAGCTAATATTGCTGCATATTCCCATTGAGGTGACAAGAATTAGCAAAATAGTGGTTCGGGCGCTTTTCAAAAATAGTACCGGACGCTGTTCCTCTTGTGACGTCATAGCTCCGTGACCTGACCTGACCCGGTCAATTTTCTTGCACCACACGATAGCCAATGCTTGCCCCAACATGCATGGGAAGTTTCATCATGATCCATCAAACAATGTGGGTATCACCGGCAGAAAACCTAGGGATTCGGCGCACACGTTTGGTAACTGTCGGCCGGAGGCTGTACCTCTTATGACGTCATAACTCCGTGACCTGACATGACCCGATCAATTTTTTTCGGCAAAAGATGCGCAAAGGTTGCCTCAGAGGGTATTGAAAATTTCAGCCCGCTACGACAAGCCGTTTAGCGTGCACTTCGAAAAAACCTCAGGGGGGGGGGTTGATACAACCCCCCCCCCCCTAGGCGTTCTAGGGTTAAGACAAAATTAAAATAATAAATCCAATCAGAAATATAATTCAGAACAGGTGTAATTATAATTTAGATACACAATTACAACACAGACAACAGAAATGACATATGAATTTGCATACTACTTGATAGCTGGTTCAGTTCATTTGCAGGAAAATGGAAATGAAGTTTCGACTAATCTGACATAATGTTGACTAATACATTTCACAACAGCTAGATACTTTGTCCAAATCGTGCATAACAACGTTATGTCCACGACTAGAATGTTGGCCAAGCCGAAGGAAAGAAATTTGATTTCTAGCATGACAGTCGCAGGCCGCTATCTGCCTTTACACATTCAACTGAAAGCCATTACCACGTCCGACGCAAAAGAGGCTGCATTGACAAGCTCCGCGAAATGCCGCACTGATGGAAACGAAATCGCACCATTGACACGAAAGCAAATGCCATATTCGCGGAGGGGAAATGAGGCTGAAAATAGCAGGAAATTCGCGTACCGCTGAATGACTAGCACTCCCCAATCCAAATATCAGATTCATTCTGGTACTGAACATCGCGCTATAAAAGGACAGGCTCGACCGATGGAAGTGTAGCTTATATGATAATGGACTGGCGAAAAAAGATAATATAATCAGAAATAAAATCCACTGAACAATTCAGCAATAGCAGAGCAGACGCTCAACTTTTGAAATAAATCGTCCTATGGCAAATATGTCCAGAACCAGGGATGCGGAGAAGGAGTCGGAGCCGAAGTCGATCATAGATACAGGTGTGCCTGGAGTCCGGAGTCGGATTCAATATTGCATGGCTCAAACTCAGTCATGCTTTACAACTGTTTTCTTTTTAAAAAAATATTAAGCTCATTGCCCTTTCCGAGAAAACTTACACGAAAATAGGCCACATTCGTGTTTTAGGCGAGCGTTTTTAGACAAACAAACAAACAGATGGCGGCGCCTACGCCAGAACCGGCCTGAGTTCTGCACACTGCATGCTATTTCAAAATCATATTTGCAAGGTTCCTAGGTACATTAGTCGGTCCTCAGAATGCAAAGGATTGTTTCAGGCAAGATAAAAAGATATCTGACATGAGCTTTACAAGCGCGATATGAACCTAAATAGAAATGCCCAGATATGACAATGTGTTCATGCGTCATACGTTGGTCATACATATAGGCCAACGCGTCATGTTACCAAAATTTCTCAATAAACTTGACGGTTTTACCAGCTGGGGACTTCCTTCGATCGCGCTACGCATAACGCCTTTCTATTTTTTCTTTGTGTTGTTGGGTTAGGCCCTTTCGGTCTGACGAGAACATTTCAGGGCCGGAGGGGTGATAGGAATTCCGGGGAGACATGGGTCTGGGCGAGCGGCCCGGTGAGTCGCCGGGGCTGAGCCCGTCCAGATGAAAGGCCGACCAGCCCCCCAAGCACTTACCGCACCCGGCTACGGGCGTGCTCTTATCGGGCTATCCCGCATGGGATAAATGTTGCCTAATGCACATCCAGGCAGGAGTAGGGGCTTGAGGCGTGGAGGAGAAGGTTTCGAATGACTTGAGGATGGTAACGATGGAACGGTGCAGAGGTCTATGAGCGGTTATAACGCCTTTCTAGCCAATGCAATTTACTTGGTACTGAGAAGATACCAGCTGACAGGCGTTATCATCAACGCGTGCGTCGGCTGCATAGGGTGCACCGTCATGTGAACATGGTTGACGGCACAGAAAAATAAGTTCAGCGGGCAACACAAACGAAACATAAATTAAGCATGACGGTAAACAGGCAGAACCAACGTAGCATACCGCGACCAATAAAGCAGGAGGAATCAGTACTACTAGCGCCGCCTAGCGGCAGTCTCACCGGCTTCGTTTCCGCTTCCGGGTGCTAGGTGGCCGCAGCGTCGGCGGCCCGTTGTCCGTCGAATGCCGTGCGCTGAGCACCGCTCGAACTTTGTCAATGGTACCGCCGGCAGTGTCGTTAAAAATGAAGTCATCACATTGGTAACTGCCAAACAGAGGTGCCAAGGTTAATGGGGTTTTGTTGATAGATTCCTGTAGTTTAGACGAGCCACTGACGATATGTTGTGTCGATATCGAAGTCGATATCGAACTTTATCGATACCCATCGAAAGCCCAATCTACGGGGAAGCTAGCACATTATATAAACAACATAAACAAACTTTCACTAACATCATTGACTTGACCACAATTCAAGAGCAGCAATAACCCTATAGTGCAAACATATGACCTAAAAGGTCCAGAAATACCTACTTTCCCACCCATTAAACGTCCCACCGAGAGCCACCAGAAGCATATTAGCGTGAGCGCACCCATCATACTCCTCACCCCACCCCACCAGACCACAGGGACACCAAACAGACCCCTCCCCAGAGCGTGATACTCACCAGAAGACGGAGAGCTGGTGGCACTCGATGCAGACAGCGTGGCCACTTTGTTCCTCGTGGTGCCGCTTGGCGTGGCCGGATACGTAGCGACCGCACCCGACGAACCCGCAGTGGAGACATAGCCACGGCGAGTCGGTGGTTCTGCACACTGTCGGGGTCGGAACCGAGACAAGTCAGTAGCTGCACATACTGCAGACATGACATACCTGCTGGTGTATAAGGCAAGAGGTGGAATGGCTGAGTGACAATGGGAAATGATGCAATGAAGGATGGTGTTTTCAGTGTAGACATGTGAGATTGACAATGTCTAGGTGTTGAAGCATCTAAGACAGCATTCCAGGTACTTGATACTGCATAAGAGGGGTGGTTAGAGTAATATTTGACACAAGCAGATATGATCAGTGAATCACACCATACTTTGTCAGCCAATGACTGAAAATGCAGATTTGATGCAAGCTGCAAGTGATAGGTGTAAAAACATCCACATTGCAATGCCTAGCATACCAGACACCTAAAGTTTGCTCACTTCATTTGTTGTTGAATACAAAGTGGACTGGCAAAAGCATGTAATTACAACAATGCATGTGTGATTGGCATGTGGAGCACTGTGCGTGCATGCTAATACTGCACCTCACTGCATGACTTTGAAGAAAAAAAAACTTTGAGATGCTGTGACATGTCTGTCTGGAAGATGTGTCTAAAATATGTGCTGTCTGTTTGATTATGACATACCTTCACATTTCCACTGCTTGGAATGTTGGATTACAATGTCTTTCTTAATCTTCACATTTTCTTCCAGGTGAGGGCATTCCATTTCAAGCAATTGCCTAAATTACAACCTCGAAAAAGCTCTGAAAGAAGATCAAATCAGGTCCATAGGTTAATTAACTATCCATTTTTCAAAAAACAAACTCATGCTGTTGGATGGGGCACAACAGACTTGGATCAATGAAATACTTGCATCACTAAAAAAAAAAACATGAATTCATTCACACTACCTATTATTTCAAATCAAACATCAGCACAATGAAGGCATCAGTTTATGAAATTGAACTTCTTATAATCAGCAATGATAATATATTTATTTACAAATCTCCTTGTGAAAGACACGTTTGTCTGACAGCCAACAAATAGAGATAAATTCAAGTTTACAATGTACAAAATGAAAAAAATATGTAGGCATAGCTTCTTGTACGTCAGTACTTCGCAAAGGGTGCTCATATTGAGAATTTTTGTAAGCATTTATTGCATCTTCATCATACTCCTCTAAGTGAGTGGTGAATCAGGTGAAATTCACAAGAATGAAATGAAAATCACTGCATACTGGCTGCCACAATAAAAGGCACTACCCCTTAAGTATCCATAGTGACTGGCAGCCTGTTGCTAATTGATCAAGATGTGAATTGAGCAAATACTAACAATTTTAAAAATGCAAAACCATACAAAAGTGGGGGCATTCCACGATAGATCGACCAAAAAAAAACTTAAAATTTACACCCGCATATTTTATTTTTTGCTTAAAATTGGTCTAATGGGTTGTGATGGGCGGGGAACCCAGCTGTGGCAAGGATTTTTTTCTTCGAACAACGGTTTCCGAGATATAGCCTCGGGCAGTTCCTGGAGGTCACGCTGCAACCCTATGTTTGGCGGCTTATAACTCAGAAACTATTGGTTTTCTATGGTAAAAACTTGATATGGTTCAACTCGCAATCAACCAACAAACGTTTTGGCTATCTCGGATTTTCGAATTTTGAAAATTTTGATCACGTGACATCTTGACCTTTTTTTCGAAGAGTGACCTTTATATTTTCCCAACTGAAAGTCGCAATTTTGTCTGATGACGATTAAAGCCTTATCAATTGTCATTCATATGCGATAATAAAAAAGTGGCTTTCGGCCTGCGTTGACCTCAGGTCAGGACATTTTTATGACCTTCCCATTATTACGAGCGGGAGCGACAGCGAGATCTCGAGAACAAAGCAAGATAGCGACAAGCGGTAAACGGCACAGGGTACACATGTATAAGGTCTACAATTTCTACTCAGGTCATTTTCAGGTCAGGTCAAAGATGACGTCACAGGGGTAAAAAGAAAGTCTAAATGGCGGCACTACATATATATCAAGTTTTTCTCGAATAACTTTCGAAGTATCCCAGCTAGGAACAAACTAATAGCACCATCGTGATCCTCTCGCCGATCCGCATCGAAACATGTGTATATTGACCTCGAAAGGTCAAGGTCAAAAGTTGACCTTAGGTCACGTGACCTTAAGGTCATCATATATCATTCGATGGGCCTTGACGAGCTGAACACAATGAGCCTATCCGCGCGGCTGTATCTCAAACCTGTAAGGAGTTATTAGCAAAAAACATTTGGTGACCTTTAATGACGTCACATGACCCAAGAGCAACGTCACAGTTGACCAAGAGCAAAAAAGGTCTCAAGGTAGTCAAAGTTAGTCGCATATGGAGTCACTCATGGTATATTGGGCAATTCTGACGCGTTTTAGTGTAAAAATAAGGGAGCTGGTTTTTTCCCAATTGACTTATAAAGGGGTGGTCAAGAAATTGACCTGACCTCAGGTCATCGGTATCGAAATTCAAAACGAACTGGCGCTAGGCGAAAGCAAACGGATTGGTGCCTATTCTACGTCTCTTTCTTTATTAGATCAAAAGGTACAACCAAAACTATTTTGACTTCCTTTTTACCCCTGTGACGTCATCTTTGACCTGACCTGAAAATGACCTGAGTAAAAATTGTAGACCTTATCCGTGTGAATCCTGTATCGTTTACCACTTATCGCTATCTTGCTTTAGTCTCGAGATCTCGCTGTCGCTCCCGCTCGTAATAATGGACAGGTCATAAAAATGACCTGATCTCAGGTCAATGCAGGCCGAAAGCCACTCTTTTTATTGTCGCATATGAATGACAATTGATAAGGCTTTAATCGTCATCAGACAAAATTGCGACTTTCAGTTGGGAAAATATCAAGGTAACTCTCCGAGATAGCCAAAACGCTCGCTGGTTGATTGTAAGTTGAACCATATAAAGTTTTTACCATTGAAAACCAATAGTTTCTGAGTTATAAGCCGCCAAACATAGGGTTGCAGCGTGACCTCCAGGAATTGCCTGAGGCTATATCTCGGAAACCGGTGTTCGAAGAAAAAAATCTTTGGCACAACTGGCTTCCCCGCCCATTACAACCCATTAGACCAATTTTAAGCAAAAAATAAAATATGAGGGTGTACGGCTTTGGTCGATCTATCGTGGAATGCCCCAGTGTAGAAACCGGCCCCCACCGGACACGATTTGGTAGCCGAGGTCTGTGACGTCAGCCGGGCGTGAAGTTTTCCCTTCACCATAGGCTTCACACACAAACTGGCCGAAGTTCATGCCAGGATAGCCCGGCTTGAAAGTGCAAAAATGATTAAATTTTGCCCTCAATAGATTCATTGCTTCATTTTATAACTAAAAACGTCCGTTATTAGGCCTCAATGAAGGTAAAAAGTACTCAAAATCGAAGTTCAAGAAGATGCTGTCCGAGCACAATCTGGTAACATCACGTGACCTTTTTTAAGCAGAATGTATATAATTCAAGGATGTTATTACACGATTGCTGCCTAAAACATCATAAATAATACGCTTGTAACATTAATTGCTTCTGTTTAAGTCATAACATTGCAAAACGCAAAGTTTATCATGGCAGTCACGTGACCAAAGGTATAGCAGGGGTTGGGACAAGCACTCAAAGGATTTCAAGTTTTTTAATTAAATTATATAAGTTTCATGATGAAATTGAAAGAATGTATTTTTTCCTAATGAAATACAAATTTTCGTATGTAAAATATTTTCCTTATGGGCGAAATTCTCCATATAAGAAATGTCAGTGACGTCACCAGGGCTTTACTCAAAACGTGCTCAAAACATCCGACCTACCTGTTTCTTATAGGTATCTTGGTAGAAACCTTACTCCTTGCTGTTCTCATGCAATAAGCAATAGCACTAAAAATTTCTAGCAAGCTCAAGATAGAAAACCAGTACTAGGGTGAAAAGCATTCCTGAGCATCCTACTTACAATTTCATGAATTTGGATGCGCCAGAGGCATTGTTATTGACCAGAACAAAGCATGCCCCAATAATCGTGCATTCTTCTACGTCAGGGATGTTGGTGACCGAGGTGATCTGGACGGGTACCTCACAATGTCAAGTTGATTAGAGAGGAAATATATCAAAAACTGCAGCCCTATAACTGTAACAAAGCAATGAAAACCAATGCTATCAGGAATTTGAATTTGAATGTATTCTTTAGGGCAAGGGGTTTGGATGGTAATAATTTTGAACAATGAGCCTGACGGAGTTGACCGGCTGACCTCGGCCGGGGCGGACGCGGGCGAGGGCGCTCCGCGCGCGGTGCGAGTGAGAGCGGTCAGCAGTGGGGTTTTTGTGGTGTCTGTGGACGCCATGAGTAAGAAAAGAAAGGCGTGCTCCCCTGGTCAGGGGGAGCAGAAGGACTATCGTGAATTAAAGGACTTTATAGTGAAAGAGAATGAAAAATGTGTTAAAGAAATCCAAGAGTTCAGTGAGAGGCGACTGTTGGCGATGGAGAACTCCCTGACATTCACGATGGACGTGCTGTCAGAATTGTCTGAGCGTCAGAAGTCGGTGGTTGCGAATGTTAAGGAGCTTCAAAAAGTGACAGAGAATCTGAGGAGCAGAGTGCAGCAGTTGGAGCTGAATGAGGACCGCCGGCTCCAGAATAGCAGGTTGGTGTTTTTGCTATTCTCCGGGTCCGCTCTCCAGGCGCATACCAACCGTGATGAAGCGGTGGATCTGATTCGTTCAGCTGCGCGTGAGTTCCTCAAGATGGATCTAGACCGCACACAGATCCAAGATATCACCAGACTTCGAAATGGAAAGATCGTGATTGAATTTAGCTCAGCTGCGCCCGGCTCTAATAGAGATGCGCTATTCAGAGCTAAGGCCAAACTTCGAGGTTCCGGCCTCTACATCACGGAATCGCTAACCCCCCGGAGGCAGGAGATGTTCAGGGACCTTATTCGAATGAAAAAGGAACGACAGATCTACTCGGTTTTCACAAGAGCCGGGAACATAATGATCTGCAGGTCACGTGACTCACCGCCACTGCGGATCGCTGACCCGGAGGCGTTGCGTCAGCTGGCTGGGTCGAGTGCACCACAGAGCCCCGTGCAGAGGCGAGCCCAGCCGGGGGAAGAGAGAGCGAGGAGCGAGATAGAGGAAGGAGCTCTCCGACGTGATGCGCCTGCGCCCTCGGCGCGGGGCGGTCGAGAGGGAGTGACGACCCCCGGTCGCGACCCCCGGTCACGTGACCGTTCCCCTTCCGACTCTCTGAGGAGGAGCGGCGGCGGCCGTCAGGAGGCTCAAAACCAGCGGCGGCAGGACGCGCAAAATCGCTCCGGGACTGCGGCTCGTGGGCGCGTCTCGTCGTCGCCGTTACTAGACTGCGCGCGGGAGGCTGTGCGTTCGGTGCAGCTGGCGGCGCCGCTTGAGTCTCCGGAGAGCGTTTCAGCTGGACTTTCGCCTTCTCCGAGTGACTCCCTGGTCGGCCCCTCTCAGGTGGCGGGCCTGGGTGCGCCACTGCGAGTGACGTCTGGGTCAGATCTACCGTCGGCCACAGGTCTGAGGTGGGTCGGTTCGGCGGGCTCGGTGCTGCCACCTGCCGGGGACCGTGGGGAGCCGGAGAAGGGTCGCGCGGTAGGTGGCGATGAGGGTCGCAAGGTAGGTGGCGCTGAGGGAGGGGCGCGTTCTATGAGTGAAGACGCCTCTCTTGTTTTCCGACCTGGCTCTCCGTCGGCTATATCGAATGTTTTGCGGCGTGAATCCTCCCAAGGCGGGGAGGCTGAGGGACGATGGGTAGAGAGACCTGGTGGTTCTCCCTCAGATTGTCCGCGTGGGGGTAGGGTCGCAGGGTCTGCTATGCAGGGAAGGGGTAGGGGAACTCGTAGGGGGGATGGGCAGTCGAGAGATATCAGGGAATATTTCTAGTGGTGGCTCAGCATTCAAGTCGGGCTGGGACCATGGACTTGGCTCAGCAGCGTGAGCTCTCCGATGTCCGAGCGGAGACTGTGGGTGGGGGTGGTTGTGCTCGATGTGAGTTTAGAGCTACTGTTACATGTCGAAAATGAGCTTGTCTTTCTGTTGTGTTAATGTACGGGGTATGCGTCAGACCGAAAAGAGAAGGGATGTCTTCAATTACCTCAGACGCCTCGACTGTGCTGTGTATGGGTTAGTGGACACACATCTGACGACTGAAATGGAGTCAATGGTCCGATCGGAGTGGGGAGGAGAAATATATATGAGTTGCGGAACAACTAACGCTAGAGGAGTGACTGTCTTAGTTCGAACTGGGGCACCTGTATTAGTTCATAGTTGGGAGGTGGATGATCACGGTAATTATGTGATAATGGATGTAGAATGTGATGGATACTTCCGAAGCAAGTTTGTTGTGATATATGGGCCGAATAGTGATTGTCCGATGTTTTTTGAAGACTTGTTTGAGAGAGTATTCAATGCTTCACAAATATGTCCTGTTATTCTCGTTGGAGACTGGAATTTCGTATTAGATCCGGAAAAAGATACGAAGTTTTACCGGAGCATTAGTAACACAAGGGCGAGAGAGGTTGTTCTGAATGCAATTGAAAACGAAAATCTGGTGGATGTATGGCGGGAACAGCATAGTAATAGCAGACAATTTACATGGAGAAGAACGAATCCTGTAAAATTCTCCAGATTAGATTTTTTCCTTGTGTCTGCTGATTTACTCGGTTTCATTTCTTCGGCAGATATTCTCAGTGGTTATAGAACTGATCACAGTATAGTCTCGTTGAAGTTCAAAAAGGCTTTTAGGGCTAAAAGGAAGATGTTTTGGAAATTTAACAATAGTTATATTGAGGATGAAGCTTTTGTTGGGTTAATCAAGAGAGAAATACGAAAGATGAAGGATCAATATGTGATACCGGTATATTCTAGTGAAACTATAGGAAGTTGCGGGGATATTCAGTTCACTATCAGTGATCAGCTATTCTTTGAAACCATGATGTGCCACTTAAGGGGTATATGTGTACAGTATGGGAGCAGAAAGAAAAGAGCTTCGGAGAGGCAGGAAAATGAACTAATAGCTAGAATACAGCAGCTGGAAGACTTAGCCACGTCAGATGAAAACGTAGCGAAAGAGCTAGCAAAGTGTAAAGAGGAACTCCATCTCAGACGTAGGGATATAATGAAAGGCGTACTAGTAAGAGCAAGGGGTAGGTGGATTGAGGAAGGTGAGCGGCCAACTCGATACTTCTGCGGCATGGAGAAACGTCAGTATACAAAGAAGTACATAGGTTGCTTAGAAATAGGAGAAAAAACTATCAGGGACCAAGACGAAATCATGACATGTTTGTATGATCACTTTAAAGGTGTGTTTCATTTAAGTGAGAGGACAAAAACGCTAGATGATATAAAACACTTACTAGGTGATGCATTTCCTACGCTAAATAGCGAAGAAAAGTTGAGTTTAGAAGGCCCTCTGACTGTGCAGGAAGCCAGCCTAGCATTGGAAAAGCTGAATAATGATAAGTCTCCAGGGCCTGATGGTTTTTCAAAGCTTTTCTTTAAGACTTTCTGGAATGAACTGGGAATTGATATCCCATGTTTGAAAACATATAATGATTCTTTGAAAATTTCCTGGATGAAAAGATATGTGTGTTCGGAAGATGCTTGGAAGTTTTTAGCAGAAATGCAGCTATGTAAAAATGATATTCTTTTCTCGTGTGGTGATGCAAGCTTCTCGAAAGCTGTAGGTTCGGTTTCAGATGGTATCAATCCGTTCTGGCGGGAAGTTTTTAGTAAATGGGATGCCTTCAAAAAGTGTTTTGAAGTCTTACCGGAAAATGTTAAGACGCAACCTTTGTTTTTGTCCTCTTTCTTCAAGCGTAATCACAAAGTTATGTGGAATGGCCGTCTATACAGAGCTGGTTGTACCAATGTAGGTGACATTTGGACGGATGAAAGAAGGTTTATGAATATTGCTGAAATAAACAACACTTATGGCTTGCGTCTCCAACAGCTTGAATTCGCGGGCATTGTTAGAGTAATAAGGACAGCATATACGGGGGAGTTGCCACCTCATGACATTGGACCTCAAATGCAGCCAGCGTTGGCAACTCTCTTAGGATGTAAGGGAGGATGTAGGATATACTATAAGACAATGCTACAGCATAAGTACTTTAAAACACGGGATGGTTTAAAATCACAAATAAAATGGAATAACGATCTACAGTGTCAGCTAGAATGGGACCTCATTTACAACAGATTTGCGAGCTGTACTAAAAATACTACTCTTAGATGGTTCCAGGATAGATTAGTACACAGAATATTAACGAAAAACGTTTTCGTGTCAAAATTCACTGAAGAAAGTCCATTGTGTACATTCTGCAATGCAGATAGAGAGACGCTTCTGCATCTTTTTGCTGAGTGCGAACAGGTTCAATGTGTTTGGAGAGCAATGGTGAGCAGGGTCAGGGAGCGATTGCATTACAATGTTGTTCTAAGCAAACGTGCAATAATTGTTGGATTCGAGGAAAATGAGACATTTCATATGGCTGATGCTGCAGCTGCTATTCAGAGACTGTTTTTGCTAGGGAAATATTATATTTACAGAACAAAAGTGGCACAACATGGTATAGGAATAGCTGATATGTTTTCATTCTGTGATTTTACGACAAGGGCAGAGTTTGGTAACATGCGAGTGGGCATGGCCGATACAGAAAAGAAGAAGGTAGAGGTGCATCAAAAACTTTGTCTCATTAGCTACACATCTCACGAACAGGGACAACGAGCGTAATAACAGGACATATAGGGCGGGCGAGGTTCGGACGCTGAGCTGTCGCCAGATTTACACCCCGCCCGTTCCCATCCGTGACCGGCCCTGACCGGCCCTGAGACTTGCATCACTAAAAAAAAAAAAACATGAATTCATTCACACTACCTATTATTTCAAATCAAACATCAGCACAATGAAGGCATCAGTTTATGAAATTGAACTTCTTATAATCAGCAATGATAATATATTTATTTACAAATCTCCTTGTGAAAGACACGTTTGTCTGACAGCCAACAAATAGAGATAAATTCAAGTTTACAATGTACAAAATGAAAAAATATGTAGGCATAGCTTCTTGTACGTCAGTACTTCGCAAAGGGTGCTCATATTGAGAATTTTTGTAAGCATTTATTGCATCTTCATCATACTCCTCTAAGTGAGTGGTGAATCAGGTGAA